GTTGAATATTTGTTCTTTAGTTTTACATTGGTTAAGACATTTAAAATACATAACCAAATTTTAATTTTTCTTTAATGTTTAATCTTGTAATTAATACTTATTAGACTTATTTTAGCATGATTTAGTACTTTTAAATTATGATCATTTTCATTATGACTTATCAATTTGCAATATTTATTTTATACGATTTCATTATTATTTTTTATTGAATATTTTAGTTTCATCACTCATCTCATATTTTTTGTTATTTTCTAAAGAACACCTCATATTGTTGTATTTTGATTGGACTAAAGAAATATTTGGAGCACAAATTAATTAGCATAAATTATAGGAACCACATATTATAAGTACTAAATAACATCATATCCCTTCTAGTTTTCTTTTTACCAAAAATCCCTTAAAAATGTTGTTTGCGGGATACATAACATTGTGGACGGGATACATACAGTTTGATACATTCTAGTTAGAGCTGTCAAAATGTGCCAGCCCAGCCCTACCCCAACCATGCCTCGCGGGCCAAAGAATTTGATAGGCTGGGGCGGGCCGGCCCTTCATTTCAAAGGGCTGTAAAATGGTCAACCCGGCCCAACCCCAAAAGGGTCAAGAGCTGGGGCGGGCTGGCCCTTTTTTTTTATGTCAAATCAATGTCATAAACAGTAACATTGTTTCAATAGTTCTAAATAAAATCTAGCAATAAATATTTAAAGAAAAAAAATAATATCTGAAAAACAAACTAGTAAACTAAAGAACACTTCTGATTAAAACTATAGTTAGCAATATATAATTACTTAAAATATTTTTTTAAATGTAATCAAGAAACTAATTAATTGTTCAAGCCATAAAACATTCTATCACATATAATATAAATAGTGTTTACTATCCAAGTCTTATATTCAAAACTAAATAATAAAGAAATTCATGAGGTAAGCTCCTTAGAAAAACTCCACAAACACTTACTTAGGTTTTCTAGTTTTTTATTCTTATTTTTTTAATATTTATTTTAATTAAAATTAAATAATTTGGCCCATGGGCCGACCCCGGCCCGGCCCCGATCAAGCCTCAAGGGCTAAGGGCCTAAAAGGGTTGGGCTTATAAGCCTCGATTTTAAACGGGCTTGTAAAATACTATCCCAACCCTACCCCAATAACGGGTTGGGTCGGGCCAGCCCCATGGGTTAATCCCTTTTTGACGGCTCTAATTCCAATTAATAGTTGTTGCGTTTCAGAAGGAAATAATAATGTAGATTTGATTTAATAACTATAAATCCCATAATTCACGCCTGAAAGATTGTAAACCTTCAATTCCATTACGTAATTGATTGATAAATTCAAATTTCAAATTAGAGCTCCTTTAGCTAACCAAATTTATCGTGATAAAGTGGATCTACATTCTAAGAACTCCAAAAAAAAACTTTAGACGATGAATATCACAATTTTGTTACGGCATTCTGGAATTTGGGTAAGCGATGTTAATTATGAAGGTTACAAGGTTGATGGAATTGTCGTTGGAGAATCAATTTAATTTATGAATTTGAAAGCGTTGATTTTAGTAGAGTTGGAGATCAACAGTGTTAGAAAAGATATTAAAATTTGATATATCGTAGACGGAAACACATGTCCATTGAAAATCAGGAACGACATGGGTGTGAAACTTTATTTGGAAGTAAGAAGAAATGAGCGTGGAATCGGAATGTATCCGTTACGTATTGATACAACTGAGAAAATGGTTGGGGAGATACATAACTTTGATTGGTCATCCGGGGAAATCATATGCGTGGAAGGTACAAAAAGAGATATTGAAGCTTTTGCTCCGGTCAAATCGAGAATTTGTGATTTAGATTATATTCCAGAATTGAATGCTACAAATTACATAATTGATTCCAATAGTACTAATGTGAAGACGGGCCAGTTGTATAAGGATAAAGGAACACTCATCGATGTAATGGTGAAATATAAAATAAAGAACAACTTCAATTTTAGAGTGAAAAGATCGGATAAAAAAAGGTATTGGACTATTTTAGCTCTAATTTGATTTGTTTTTCTTCAGTTTATGCATATAATTAGTACAATTCTAGTTTCTATTGCGTTTGATACATTAGTCTAATTAGTATATGTATTGTATTGATAAGTTCGTTGGTGTTTGATGATTTAAACAAATTGGTAAGTATTATGATTGTTATTATTGACAATTGATTTAGGTGTGTATTGATAAACTTTATTATGTGATGCATAATAAATTTGTATTCAAATTGTTGTGTGCTTTATTATGACAGATACATTAGTTGTGGAAAACTTTAACAGTGCTTTTGTTATATGACTTAATCTAATGAAAAAATTTGTACAACTATGTGTTAGTTTGCTTCAGTGATGAATGTGGGTGGACTTTAAGGTCTTCGTGCAGAAAGAAATCTGATGTATTCAAAGTGAGGTACTTTAACAGTGAACATACGTGTCCGATGTGGGATAGGATACTTACAAAAGTACAAGCAACAGTTGGATTTATTAGTGGTGTGACTGCCCCCAAGTTGTTTAATCATAAACGAATTCATACGCCGCAAGATGTAATTGAAGATATTCGAGCAATATATGGGGTTGAAATATCATACCAGCAAACATGGCGTGCTAAGGAACGTGCACTGAAAATGTTAAAGGGTAAACCATCAGAAGGATATAAGCAAATGCCAAAATACATATGGATGCTAAATAATGTGTATCCAAATTCATATATAAGAATGCAAAAGATGTAAAATAATCAATTCATGTATCTTTTCATAGCACTGAGGCCATTGATAAGAGAGTTGGACTATTGCAGACCAGCAGTTGTAGTGGATGTTGCACATCTTGGCGGGGATTATAAAGGTACTTTTCTATCAGCGAGCACACTCGATGGTACAGGTATGACTATTGTAATACTGATGTAATTTTGAAATTTGTTTCAGTGTATAATCACTGTATCTTAGTGTAACAGTTATGTATCGTATAGTTAAATGTGTGTTGCTTTGTAAATAGGCTGCATATTGTCGTTGGCATATGGTGTTGTAGACACTGAAAATGACTGTTCGTGGACATAGTTCTTCGAACAATTCAAAAATGCAGTTGGCGAGCGTAAAAACATGTGTATTGTATCAGATAGAAATGAAAGTATTATGAAAGTGTAAGCATTATGTTCCCAAATGTACCTCATTGTGCATGCATATGACATCTTTGGAAGAATGTATATTCAAACTTCAAAAAGAGTAAAACCACACTAAGTGATATATTTTACTCAATGGCAAAGGCATACAGAAATGAAGATTTTGATAAATTAATGGCTAAAGTGGTGAAAGTTGATCATAGGGTGAAGAATTACCTTAAGGATGCTAGGTCTGAGAAGTGGTCAATAGTTCATTTAATAGTAAACAAAGGTAGAATGATGACTTCGAACATCGCAGAGTGTATAAATGGTTGTCTTGTTGATGCATGTCGGTTAACTATAATAGACTTCTTGGAGGAAGCTAGACTTCTATTTGGTAGTTGAAACTGTAAAAATAGAGAAATAGCGTCATATACAAAGGACACATTGGGCCGAAGATTTGAGGAGGTATTGATTGTAAATGCATCTAAGAGTTCAAAGATGAAGATATTTATCAATATCCCTATCTTTCTGTTTGATGTATCAAAAGCTCTGATGATTTCACTGATTTGCATTGTTTGAGAAATGATATGTAAGTTATATTATGTAATATATTAGTAAATTCTAATTATTTTCAGGTTGTTCCATCGTCTGAATATATTTTTTCAGTTTATGAAGCCGGAAGAAGATACATTGTATGCCTTGAGCGGAAAATATGTACGTGTGGAAGATTTCAACATGATGAGATACCTTGCGAACACGCAATTGCAGATTTGAAACACAAGAATGTTACGGATATGCATTCATATTGCTCTGATTACTACAAGCCGGATGCATTAGAAAAAACCTACGAGGTTGCAATGGTTCCAATGCCAGATAAGAAGGATTAGACCATTCCAGACTATGTTTTAGATGAAATTGTCTTGCCACCTAGGTGCAGAAGATTGGCTGGACGACCAAGGAATTGAAGAAAGAAAAATGCGGATGAGAAGATAATAGTGAACAAACATTCTTGCGGGCGATGTGGACAAGAAGGTCACAACAAGAGGACTTGTACTTTCTTCCCAAAAGAGAATTGAAATAATATTTTAAAATAAGATATTCGTGTTCGTGGTTAATAAATTACAATTATATGTATTTTTCTCTTTAGTATTTGGATTAAATAAAGTGTATTGTTTAAACAATTTATTTTGTTGTTCAACTAAATGCATTTGTTCATAACAGTGTGTCAATCTTATATTAAATATAAAATTATTCTTGCACTGAATGTATAAACTGTGAGAAAAATTATTGTGTAAATGAATGAAATATTGGTTCAATACCATGATAATGATTTAAACAAAATTAAGTGTCCCAAAATTTACTTTTGCAAACGTGTAGTATATGTATCATATATATCACATTATGTTGTATCATGTACACTGAAGACTATTAATGAAGCACACATTAAAACTCTTAAAACTGTATTTGATATAGTTATAATTTTGATATATTTTACCTTAGCAGTGTTGCAGTTCAATTTAATAGTTTGTTGTGTTATGTTTGTTGATTAACATGATGTATCATACACATTCGTATAATTCAAGTGGCTTATACATAAATGTACTTGATATATGTGAATAAAATTCATGCATAATATACATTACGACTTATGTATCATATACATCATTTCGTAAATAAACTATCAGATTACTTAAAGTCAAACAGTGATGATTGTGGGGCTTAACGTTATAAAGCAACAAATGTATCTAAAGCAATATAGTGAAAACACATAATTTTAATAAATAACAAAATATTGTACTAAGTTTTTAGAGAAACACATAAAAAAAGTGAATTTGTCTTCAAAACAAAACAACATGAAAAATTGTTCATGCAATCCCTATTAAGTACTAATCTATGTTAACGAAATCTTGTTCAGTTGGTGTTGTGAATTGACCCTTAGGCTTTGGTGGATCGTCATTCTCACTTATGTATCCACCCTTGAACTTGTTGCAGCTGTATCTCCACAACAATGCTGCATATCGATTGCGAAGATAATTTGCTAGATGGCCATCAGTATCAGGTGGTATAACAAGTTGGTCACTCAAAAACTCTGCAAATGTAGCTACATATAACCCGCAGTCCCTACAACAAAATGCAGAATAAAAATTTGTAAAAAAAACGTACACATATAATTGTAGTCAAGAATTTAAATACTTATATGCTATCATCTTCTTGTTGCATGATGCCTTGAACGTATTCAATATTGAAAGGAATATGTGATTCCAAAAGTGTACCAGTTTGTTTGTCCTTATATGCATCAAGTTCTGGCCAGATTGTCCGCTCAGTTTTTTCAAAGAAACCACTGTCAAGAAGATAAGAAGGTAGCATCCTTGACAACTTTTTTATCTCCTCATAATGTACTTGTTTCCTTATGCCTATAGAAGAGTCATACACGCGTATCAACCTCCGATTAAATTCAACAACAGCTAACATCCAATGGAACTGTCCATCACAATTAACCAGAATGTAAACATCGTCCATAAGATGCCATGATAATGAAGCTGGTATTGAAAATCCTTTCATGACGTTGGTTATTAACCTCTCATGTACAGATACAGCTACCGCACGATCAATGTGTTCCTGGGTACTAATATCATCATCAGCCATATTGTTATAATACCTTTCATGGGTATTGTTGATATGTGAACTGAACAAACAATTAACTGTTGTGTATCTGTATTGATTCATGCTGTGAAGTTTTGATTTTTTACGAAGGTAGTTAAAAACAACATCGATGTGCTACACAAAACATTATAAACATAATTATACATTTAAAAAGAAAAATAATGAAAATAAAATGTTAGATATTGAATTAATATTTATATAACACCTATTAAATAAGTTTATCATATACATCAATATAACTATATATGATACATTTTCATTTAATGTAGCAGCAACATGAAATTTACATATACATGTCATATTTACCTGATCAATCCAATAATTTTTAGGCTGTGACATGGCATAGAACCAATTTTTATTGGACGGATATGCAACAACATAATCCATCATTTCAAAACCCAATGAAGAGGCTTTTGCTCTGTACCTATCCTCTGTTGGTTTCCTGTTTTATAAAGTGTAAAGAAAAGATGTTATTTAAAAGTACAACAAGATTTGTAATTTCAAAATTGAACAAATGTAGTAAAACGTATAAAACTTACTTTTTGACATGTGTTTTGAGAAGACATGTAGTAACCCACTCAATAAATTCATCAATCAGATATGACGGGGCTTGGTTTGTGATCTCACAACCTTCAAATGAAAAATTTGAACGAGAATTACATCCTCTTTGACATCTTTTACTTTTTCACTTGACCCAGATGAAGTCAAATAAGGAGATTTGCAAATTTTTGAAGGCATCCTGATACGTGCAAGAGGAGTATTTGTATCGCTTCGGACAACAATCTCTGTGATTGAAATATCAGTAGGTAATTGACTGTCCGAAAGCAAACTTTGGTTGTTGGTTAGCTCTTGTGGATTTGCCGCACTAACTGGTTTAACAAGAATATGCAATCTTCTTAGATTAACAATAAGTGTATGCATGACTTCTCGAGTTTCAGATGATATTATACCAGAGTAGAATCCTATATGATTCAAATTGATAATTAAATAAAATTTGATAAATCATATGATATATAAATGATACATAAAGCATAAAATCGATGTATCAAATGTAGCAGTATCTGGCATAGACTGATTAGTGTTACGTTGAACTTTATATGAATCATCTTCGTTCATTGTTTCTTCGAAGAACTGTTGAGGCATTTGTGTTGTTGGATCATCCTGAATAACAACATATTGTACAATTTAAGATACATTAAAAAACATATGTAGCATATACAAATAACTGTTAATGTATCAAGACATATTATATATAGTAGACAATCAATTTTATTTAGGTACACTGATATGTATCTTGCAATGGAATGTATCATATAAACATATAATTAAAAATGTAAAGTATCGTACACACAAAATTTTTGATGTAAACAAATCACACAAATAAACTGCAATGAATCATAATCACACTGATATGTATCTTGTAATGGAATGTATCATAGACACACATAATTAAAAATGTAAAGTATCATACACACAAAAATTGTATGTATCATAATCACACAAGTAAACTGCAATGTATTATAATGGCACATTTTGATGTATCACTACAAAGTTGATGTATACTAATAATCAATTTACGATGACAATAGTACCTTCTTATGCTCAGTTGCTTCTGGAGTATGATGAACATTTGCATCTGATGATTGAAGTTCTGAAACTTCCTTCATTTCTTGATGATTCTTCAATGTATCTTCAATTTGTATTTTTTTAAACAAGTTTTTTTCAAACAAAATATGTTACTAATAAATTGTTTAATTAGATATCCGCAATGAATAAAGTAAAATAAACCTGATCTTCAACATCAAAATCAGATACATCAATGTCTTGGTCATTAATGGCAAAATCCATCTGTATCAGTGAGGTTGGTTGTTGATCAAACTTGGAGGTACTTGTTTGATATTCATCATTGCCTTTTTTATCGAAAACTTCAACAATGCACGACGTAGACTTGCTGCCCAAATTCTTCATGAATTAATTTTTTAACAAAATGAGCTATGAAAGTTAAAACACACAAACAAAACAGATATACAACACAATACCTTTGGTTGTTTGTCGTCCTCCCTATTCCTTGAATTCATCATCTTAGAGTGGTTTGCCTTTATCAAATTCACAAGATACTCAAATTTACTGTCAATCTATTCAAAAAAAATTAACATTCAATTTTATATTTATGAATAAGCAAAAAAATATAAATTAATATCATTACTTACGTATTCCTTCATATGTTGTTTCAGTTCTTCAATATTGGGATATACAGACTTATCTTTTTGGACTTGTGGAGATACATGGGCAAAAGATACATTAGCAGGTGGGTAGGTACTTCATCCGACATTGAGAATGACTGGTTTAATTGTGGCCTTAACTGCTCTGACAATTCAGGTTCCGACACCTTTATTTTAGGTGTATCAATTTTCTTTCTCCTTTTGGTGGTGGTGGAGATGATGTACCAGACACACGTGATGATTTTCTCAATAAATGATCAGGAGGGCTTGTTGAGAAATCCTCAAAACCTGAAGTGGAATTCCTTGTTTGCACTTTGTTTGGCAGCACTGCTGTTGTGGATGGTTCAGGAGTATGAGCATCTTGAATATCGGGTAAATCAAGGGCCTCAACTTCATCTTGTGTTGGTACAATGTTTGAACATGCATTCTGTATTTTAAAATGGTTGAATGTTATACTATCATACAAAAATTGTTATTTACAAAAAAAATTAGAAAGCTTATTGAAAAACAGATAATTGCAAATTTAAAAGTAATGTTACCTCGGAGAAAATGTTGGACATATAATTTTCATATTTTGGCTTTAAAGCCACGGCAGTCCAATTACAAATCCTGGGAATACCATTCGCTACTTTAACAACAATAACTGGATTTAAACTAGATGCATATTCATAAGTCCATACATTGAGTGCATAAGGCATACCAAATAAGCGATACATTTGTTTGCTTTGGTTGAAGTCTTGCCTGAGTGATGTAATTAGCTTATCGAATGAAGTATAAGATTGCCATCTGAACGGTGTCCTGTGTGGTATTCCAATTATCCATTATAAAACATTGTATCAAGCGACTCTTGGTTATACCTGCAGTTGAATCAGGGAAATACCTTTGTAGTAATCGGCTCAGAGTGGATTTTGGATATGAAAAATTTGCCACATTTCCTTTGCATTTAAGGCCAGTTACAATGGTAAATTCCTTTTATACCAAACTGCAATACAGTCCCGTTAGCATGTCAAACATGCAATACATCTTTGTTATCATGTTGCACCTCTAACAACAACAAGCACTTAGTAATCTGGCCCTGGAAATTACATTTCGGAATGTTCAAATATGGTCCAAAGATTGTATTCTTGAACATTTCAACGCCTTCTTCATTTGTGGACTTTTTTATTTCATTCACAAAATCAAAATTCAACGTTGCTCCAAATCTCAATGGATGTGCTGGTATTTTTTTGATAACATAATTCATGCCCTGTTTATACAAAAATATATATATATATATATATAATTGTACTTGTCTAATCTCAAACAAATGATGTAATTAAGAGAGAATGATACATTGAAGATAATCTGTAAATTCAGTAAATACATTATAGTTTTATAATGATATCATATCAAACACGTCGTCAAATACATAAAATACATGAGTAATTAACATCAGCCCAACCAACAAAATACATGAATTATTTTCAAGAACAAACTGTAAATGACACTAATAATATACTATTTTTTAAGGAATTATATGAATGTATCAGATACATCATATACATGAACAAACAAAATCATGAACTCATACACCTTGAAATGCATAAGATACATGAGTAATTAACATCAGCCCAACCAACCAAATACTTGAATTATTTTAAGGAACAAACTATAAAGAACGCTAACAGTATATTGTACATGAATTTCAATACATATATGTATCAGGCATTCATTTTTTAAGGAATTATATGAATGTATCAGATACATCATATGCATTAACAAACAAAATCATGAACTGATACACCTTCAAAACTGTACAACACATGATGTTTTTATTGAATTTGAAATTAACATGATTGAAGATACATGAATGATAAAATTAGTGAATTTGTCTTCATTGTTAAATGACTCTTAATTCGATTTCACAAACCACATGCATCAATGTAAAACTAGGGTATTAATGTATCAGCAAAACACTAATTAACCGATTACAAATCGATATTGTTCTAACATACTATGAAAACATTGAATTGATAAGTAATGTATCTTCAGTGTAATTGAATTTTAACAATTTCAGTCCAAACACAACCAACACCATAACAAAACTATAAAAATATAAAAGTTTGTTTAAACACATACCTTAGGAAGTGTGGGTCTGGAAACAACATATGTCACTTTTCTTCCTTTTTTTGGGAGGGTTTCTCCAACCTTTTTTTTGGTTTGACAACAATCTTGTCCTTCATTGCTAATGGGTCATGCAATCGCTTAGATTTGTTCTTAGCCAATTTTTCATCACCAGAAACACCAACACTATCAGATAGACCCTGTTCCATATGTATCAGTAAAAAGTACGAAGAAGACAACAATGGAGAAACTTAGAAATCGGTATAGTTGAGGATACTCTTACTGAAAATCAAATTGATTTGAAATTTGTTAAGAAGTGGAGAGATTTTAGGGATGGAATGGAAGAGTTTAATTGTTAATGGGAAATGTGTGTGCTGGGTGAAAAAAATGAGTGAAATTTGTAATGGGAAACGTGAGTATTGGCTATAAAAAAGGTGGGATTTTACAGATTTTATTAATTGGGAGAAATAAGGGATTTTTAAATTTTTTGAAATAAGTAGGGATAAATGGATATTAAGGTAAGTAAAAGAGTGTAGTTAAATAATTTGTCCAATTAATTATATGTTTCTAGAGCCGTCAAAATGGGCTTAGCCCATGAGGCCGGCCCAACCCAACTCGTTATTGGGGTAATGTTGGGATAGAATTTTTCAAGCCCATTTAAAACTAGGGCTTATAAGTCCGGCCTCCCTGTAGGTCGAGACTCCTTTTAAGTCGCCCTCTCCCCGTCCATAACCTGTCTTTTGAAAGCCGTCATCCTGGATTTTCTTTCCGTATGCCGGGGAAAGTACCTCACCCCCACCTTTCTACATTTATTATTATATATAATTTCCTTGGGTCTCTGTAAAACAGAATGAAAAGCCTGGGTGGAAGCACAAGCAAAATTAGAGAGAAAAAGTCGAAAAGATCCATAATAACCCTTGACCCTGGAGGCTTGATCAGGGTCGGCCCATGGGCCAAAACTTTTTATTTAAGGGTAACTTACAAAAATCTCACTAGTATATAATCTAATTACTTAAATACACGCTATGTTGTAGTATTATGAATCTTACCAGATTTTGGTACGTC